TGTTTAATATGCTCTTCCAAATAAAATTCTGAAAGACCACGAGTATCAGCTTGCATTCTTAACTACTCACACTCCCCTGTGTGTGAGTTGGATGGCCATATAAATTTGTTAAATAAATAAAGCCCATTTTATAAGTAAAATTTCCCTTAACAATTAAAATTTAAAAGGAAAGTAGCTAGGAATGTTTAATGTTAAGACCAGGGGTGGGATTCTACCAGTTTGCACCTATTCGCTAGAACCGGTTGTTAACATTCTAAGCAGTTCGGAGAACCGGTTATTAGAAGAAATTACTGGCCTAATCCTGTAAGGAAGGCAGGAAGGAAACATTCTGGTGTTGCTTACAGAAACTGCCTCTCCGTTAACTGTTACTATATTCTTGGCAGGACTAGACTTCCTGTCTCAGGAACTTTTCTGGAATTTTTTTCCACTCCTTTGCTGGTACTTTGCTTGTGTGGAGTGACCATTCAAAGTTACAATGGCACTGAAAAAAGTGACTTATGACCATTTTTCACACTTACAACTGTTGCAGCATCCCCACAGTCATGAGAGGCCAGGCGAGGAGATGCGTGCCTCGATGTGAGTGATACTGAGTTGGCCATGCCCAGCCAATAACATTTAATGGATAGGTGATTAATGAATATATAGCCACATCTACCCAGTCACATGACATCCACCCAGTCACATGCCACGTCCATGCAGTCACATGACCACCAAGCCATGCCCATCAACTAAGCCACGCCCACAGAACCGGTTGTTAAAAAAATTGAATCCCACCCCTGGTTAAGACCCTGGTGGTACAGTGATTAGATTGCAGTATTGCAGGCTAATTCTGCTGATTGCCAGCTGCCAGCAGTTTGGCAGTTCGATCATCGCCGGCTCAGGGTTGACTCAGCCTTCCATCCTTTCAAGTTTGGTAAAATGAGGACCCAGATTGTTGGGGGCAATATGCTGACTCTGTAAACTGCTTAGAGAGGGCTATAAAGCACTGTGAAGCGGTATATAAATCTAAGCGACAAATGATAAGTACCCAGGGTTGAAGTGATAAGTGATAAGTATCCATGTCAGGTAGGCCTTCTACTGAAATAAATGAAATTTAGAATAAGTTTGCATTTTATAGATAGAACTCATTGCCACAGACTGTTACTGAGCATCACTGTGATTCACTGGAACTTAGTTTGAGTTTGTTGCAAAGAACTGCAGCTGTAGTCTTATCAGAAGTTAATTCAATTATTTTAAATAGAAATCTTTTGCCTGGAAAAAGAAAAAAAAAGCCCTCAATTTAAGTGAAACTGATTACACTTAGTATGCCATCTGCTGTCTGGTAATCCTGTTCTTGCTCTTTATGTCTTCCTTGATCATTTCATCTCCAATAGAGTGATTTAGAATAAAGTTCGCAGGTTTTCACATCTATCTTTCATTGCATTTAATGGAAGCTTCATGTGAGAAGTTAGATGGTGCTTTTAAATTGATAATGTTCTGGGAAAGAATTCTTAGTATTTTGACATGGGGGGGTAGATCACTTTCATAGCTTTATAGTCTTCTTACAGCTTCTGGTGTGAATGATTCTGATGGGTGTTTCATAAAGCAACCTTTCAGACCCAATGTTTGAGACAGCAAGGGTGGCATTTTTTGATGGCTTGGTGTGGCTGGATCAGAGAAGACTTGGAAGGACTTCCAAGGAGCATCATTGAACTTTTGAGATGAACAGCCTCTCCCTGATGTGCAAACTGGCTGTATGCCCATGGAATTATTTGCCTTAGTCTTGTAGCTGTGTTTATCTTCTGCTGCAGCTGTAGAAAAAAGGTCCAGCAACCCTTGAGAAAAACTGTATCACATAATGGAGAGAGGTCACCTAGAACAAAGAAGAAATTTCCCGATATTTAGAACAATTAATTAATGGAACAACTTTTATCCAGAAGTTGTGAATGCTCCAACACTGCAAGTTTTTAAAGAAGAGATTGAATAACCATTTGTCTGAAATGATATAGGGTTTCCTGCCTGACCAGGGGGTTGGACTAGAACACCTCCAAGGTCCCTTCCAACTCTGCTATTCTATTCTATTCTATTCTATTCTATTCTATTCTATTCTATTCTATTCTAATGTATGCCTTTGGTTGATACTGAAGAGGGCTTCTTGTTTACATCCTTCCCTATTTACAAATGTGCTTTTTGCACTTGAGAAAAATATCAGTAAAATCTGTCAGAATCTATGTTAATGAGCCCATTTAATTAATATGAAATATTATTGCAGCTGACAAAAATGTCTCATCCCAAGGAACAAATGATAGCAAATGAATATAACTACTCAGATGCTGCTTCTATGTGGCAGTTGAGATTCTCTTTACTCAGCATTTCATTCAAATGATTATAAGGCTCATAAACTGTTCAGAAATCTCCGTGGCTTAAAATGTTAGTCTAGGGAGGTAGCAGAATCACAGAGTTGGAAGGGATCTTGGATGACTTCTAGTCCAACTTCTTCCCCAAGTAGGAGACCCTATGCCATTCCAAACAAGAAGCTGTCCAGTCTCTTCTTAAAAGCCTCCAGTGATGGACCATCCACAACTTCTGAAGGCAAGCTGTTCCACTGGTTAATTGTCCTCACTGTTAGGAAATTTCTCCTTAGTTCTAGGTAGCCTCTCTCCTTGATTAGTTTCCATCCATTGTTTCTTGTCTTGCCTTCTGGTGATTCGGATAATAGGTTGATCCCCTTTTCTTTGTGGCAGCCTTTCAAATATTGGAACACTGCTATCATATCACCTTTCTTTCACAAGACTAGACATACCCAATTCCTGCAACCTTTCTTTATATCTTTCAGCCTCCAGCCCCCTAATCATCTTTGCTGCTCTTTTCTGCATTCTTTCCAAAACCTCGACATCTTTTTAATAATATGGTAACCAAAACTGGATGCAATATTCTAAGTGTGGTTTTACTAAGGCTTTATAAAGTGGTAGTAACATTTCATGTGATCTTGATTCTATCCCTCTGTTAATGCAACCTAGATTGCATTGGCTTTTTTGCCTGCTGTCACACACTGCTGGCTCATATTTAAGTGATTGTCCACTGGGATTCCAAGATCCCTCTCACAGTTATTGATTGTATTAATTCCAGACCACATATATTTATTTTGTATTGTTTTAATTGCTTTTAATTTATTTTTATTTTTCATGATGTACATCGTCCAAAGTCATGTTGAGATGGGCAGCTATGGCTGTAGAAATTAATTAAATACATTTCCCCATCTTTATTAAATATTTGACCAAAGATTCAGATTCACCTATAGCAAATGGTGATCACATGATTACAGTCTACTATGACCGTTGTAAACAATGTCAGTTGCAAAGTGCCCAAAATTTGATCAGGATTCTGTGATAGTCATTAAGTGCAAGAACCAATCATGAAGTTATTTTTACAGAACCATTGTAACTTTGGGTAGTCATTAAACAAGGTGAGGACTATATTTATATTTTCTTGTTCTAGTTTTGTTTATAATAATTTGTAATTATTTTATTTCTTTTCCTCGTTGCATCATAGTTTTTTTTACTGCAAAACATTCTGTTTTTTGACCAATAACATGGCATTATCAGAATACAAGCAACACATCACTACAAGCCATCTTTTACAATTTAGTTATAAATGCAGCCAGTTGGACATCACGTATCTTTACTTGCTCCCTGGTTAGTGTTGGATCACTTGCTAAGCTTATTTTCATGTAAGCTTTACTTCCATCATCTCCTGTTCACATTGCATTGATCATTTCCAATTATTTCATGGTTCAAACCTATTCACTTATATCATAATCAGGAAATATGCAATGCATTTTCTCAAAGACTGTTGAATTAAATATGCAGCCCAACATAAATCTCCTCTGAACTACCCAGATTTTTCTCATTTTTGCCTCTGGTGTCTTTTTAGTCAGAATTCTGCCAAGCATCTTTCCAGAGACAATTAACAACTTTATCCCACTGTAGTTTTTGCATTCAGTCTTGTTATCTTTCCCTTTAAATGGGGAGCAGAACCACATTTTGTTAAAGTGTAAAATGTTTTGTAAAGTTTTAGTAACAGCATTCTGTTAAATATTAAACAAGACACTAGTTCTTGCACAAGGAAATGATATATTTTTAGATCCCTTTGGTTATGCCAATTACATCTTACCATTTTCCAGTATTCTTATAATATTTAGGTTTTTCTTTTAATTGATGTTTTTCTTGGAAAATATATTTGAATTCTACTGTTCAAAGTATCTAGCATTCCCATTTTAAAAATAGCCTTTAGGGAATTCCCTCACTTCAGTGTCATCTCAAATTATATCACTTTTTTAAAAAGGTTCCATTCACCCTTTTAGAGGCTTTTGATTTAGTGCTCTTCTCAATCCCTTCCAAAGCAATTTTTAAATTTCTTTCAAATCACCTATATGTTTTACTACCTTAAGGTTTCAAACTTACTTGTTTTCTCTGCTTCATACCCAAAATGTTCAACTGGTATAAAATATTAGCATTTGCTTTCAGAAATATGCCAATGCTTTTCTGCAATATTGCAAGCTATATTTAAATTTACTGCTATTCTCAAAGCTTGTGGCATATATTTTATAATTATTTCATTTGTATCTTAACTATAATCTCTTATACATATTGCAAGTTCCTTCCTATGACACATGCGCAGTAAACAAAAATAACATTAGAATAACACAAGTGTCATTTAATTTAGGTAGAACAATATGATGGTGTCATATCATTCGGTTTCTGAAGAACCTCTAAACGAGCTATTGCCTGATTCTGTTTGACAAGCATTTAATGGCCAGACAACTGAGGGTGTTAATAGTATATTTAAGATAATAGCCTTTAGTTTTTAAAACTTTTTAAAGTTGTTCATGATATTTATATTGTTGTTTTTATAAAGTTGTATGTACTTACAATGTGTGTATGTTACTTCTAATATGAAATAGGACAAGGAGAGTAAGCTATGTGAATTAAAAAAAAGTTTTTCGTTCATTTTTATTTCAGGAGCACAGAGGTCATGAGCACAGTCTCAGGTACTCGGAGTTCAACCATCACCTTTACCGTTCGGCCTGGAACTAGCCAGCCCATCACACTTCAGAGCAGAGTCCCAGACTATGATAGCAGGACATCAGGAGCCAGACATGCTCCAAGCCCAGTGGTTTCACCAACAGAGATAAGTAAAGACATCCTGCCTGCTCCTCTGACTGCTGCTGTTCCAGCTGCATCTCCTTCTCCAACTCCTTCTGATGTTTATAGCCTACCCAGCCAGCCTCCTTCCGGAGACCTCTTTGCTTTGAATACAGGGCGCAGCAGGTCTCCTTCTCCCTCAATATTACAACAGCCAATCTCAAATAAGCCTTTTACAACTAAACCTGTCCACCTGTGGACTAAACCAGATGTGGCAGATTGGTTGGAAAGTTTAAACTTAGGTGAACATAAAGAGACCTTTATGGATAACGAAATAGATGGCACTCACTTACCAAACCTTCAGAAAGAAGACTTGATAGACCTTGGAGTGACTAGGGTTGGTCACAGAATGAACATAGAAAGAGCCTTGAAACAACTATTGGACAGATAAGAATGGTTGGTCTTGCCTCACAAACCTTTGTTATAAATAGAGATAGGCTGGTATCAAAACACCCCAAATGCCTTGGCTCCCCAAGAGTAGCACCAAATTAAAAAGCATCCATTAGATTGCCAATTTATGTCCAAAATCAATTCCATGTCAATCCACATTAATGGGACCAAATATTTTTAAAATGGATGGGGCAAATAAGAGAGAAGAATGGAAATAATTGTGAACTTTAAAAAAAGAACCAAATTTGTAAGCTCCAATCATATTGATATTATCTTGAAAGTTTATACTTTAATTGCTGGTACACACACGACTATCACTTCTTTTTCAGTCTAGGGATTGGTTTTTCTGTTAAAAATGACCTTCTGCTTGAAAAATAATGTGTCACCTCTTTTTGATTAAAACCCACAGGTATTTCTCTACGTACTAGAACATGTTGTGTCCAGCTCTTTTTGCAATCTGCTTTCATATGACTAATATTTCATATGATTGTTGGATTCAGTCCCATTGCTGTGGTCAGACAATTTCTCCTTTCAGTTTTTCTAAACTGATTCTTGGTTAGTTCTGCCACTTAATTTTTCCGCTAATATTCACTTTTTTCATGATGTATTTACTGATTTTTGAGAAACTTCTATACATTCACAGCATTGCCAGAATTTTAAAAAAATGTCAGATGTTTTTGGCTCATTATTATGTTGATTTCTTTGGAAGTGAAATTAGTTTTTGTCATCCAGTGTAATTTGTTATTTGACTTTTAAGATTTTATTTTTCCATTTATGTTTAGTGCCTTTCCAAATTGCCGGATAGTTATTAGGCATGCTTTTTTCTTTTGGTTTATAATGCAGTATAATGTGTGAAAGCTATGTAAGAAATCTTAGCTGCCTAAAATAAAAGTAAAAATATTTGTAAGAAATTGGAATTGAAGATATCTGTGCACAGAAAGATGGTAGTACGATTAAGATCTTGTCCACATTTCTTTGTGGTGGACTGGGATGATAGGTAAGTAATTCAGGGTTGTATTTTCAAAACAAGCATTCATCAAGCCTGTTTTAATTACTCTCATATAGGATTGAGTTGTTTGGACAATATTGCACAAGACCTTTTCTTTGAGGTGGAAACAGGTATCAGGATTAGATGTCTTTTCTTTCCACAAGCGCATCAGTGAGTGTGGATTTTTTTTTTGGGGGGGGGGGGGGGGGAATGATGTTTTGGCTTCCCAAAAAGAGTTAAGTTCTAGTTTTTAAAGAACTGTGTTTTACATAAAGGTTACTTTTGCTGGATCAAAGTGATCATGTGTGATAGTGGATTTTATTACCATTGTAATCGCCCTAGCCTAGTATCATAGAAAGAATAGTGAATTTTCCTTCTGCAATTTTGTATGTGGATGCACAAATCAATGCACAAGCTGCAGTCGACAGTAACTGCACAGGTGGCTTCTTCACCTTCAAGAAGGTCTTTGGATTTTTGACCTGCTTATTCTTTCCTGCTTAAGAAAATCAGCTGTTGATCAATCTGCGTGGCACAAGCCTGTTTACTTATGGAAATGGATTTAAATCTTTACTGTTTTATCATATTAGGAAGATGTTGCCCGGTGTCTACAAGAAATATGAAATGAAAATATCAATAAAAGTACGTGTTGCAAAAGTAGTTTTATGAAAACAGTAGGTACCTATTATATATGCAAGGGACAATTTTTTCTAAAAATGGAGATCAAGGGTATCATCCTAATAATAATGTTTTGTTTAAAATTAAACTACAGGATTGTTCTGTGCTTCCTTCCCATACAAATTGCTGTGTTTTAGGAGAACCCACCTAGCTTGCAAATTAAAGAAAGAGAAGGTTGAGACAAAAATCACATTCAGAACTGTTTACGAAAAAAATTGAGTGGATTTTTAAAAGCATGGTCTTTTGGCAGACATATATATATATATTCAGATTTGGTGGCTTCTATGAAATTTAGAATTCTTTCTTCCCACCATAAATAATCCACATTAGCAATGTTGTTGGTTCACAGTGTCATGAATAATTTAGCCTGTACATGTGAGTTTGCTTAATAATTTAATTGGAAGGCATCTTAGTTCATTTTTTTAATATATCCCAGCCTATCTCTAATTATAATTTTATTTTCTCATAACTGAATGTCTAATTTGGGGTCCACAATAGACCTAGGATTAGTACATAAAGTTCAGCAATTTCAATACCTTTCTTTATTGCAAGTCTAAATAGTTGTACAGATAGTTTATAAGCACAATATTTTAAGAATATAAGTGGCTGGTCTACTGGGCAGCCTTTGTGCCACTTCAGTGCTAGAAATTAAAAAAAAAAGACTTTAGTGGTTTACTACTACTTCTGTGGAATAAGTATTAAATCTTGACCTTTTTAAATCAGTATCATTTGGATGCATCTGAACCAGCAGAGCTGTGTTATATTTTCTATCTTTGCTAAAACTTCTTCAGATGATGTGTCTCCTCAAACATGGTAACAATCAACAATACTTGGGTAATTATTAAAAAAAAATAGTCACCTCTCTCCTTCCGCTATCAAAACTGGTCCTTTTAAGTTATTGTCACTTAAGACTCTTTTCAAATTTCTTTCAACACTTGCATACTCCAAATGGATTTCTAATTAAAATAAAGTTTCAGTGCAAAAACTTTGAAATATTGATACAAAGTTGTATCTAGAGGACAATCTAGAGGACAATATTCACATATTTGATAACAAATTTTCTTTTGATGGGGGCAGGGGAAGGGTGTAAAAAAAAGATGATTTTGACATCATTGTCTTCCATTTGGTGATAATGCAGAAATCAGTAAATAAACCATAATGCCATGCTCCTTTTGATTTCTTTGAGTGCAGTTGGTTTTACCTCTATAATGTGCCAGAAAATGCATTAGGACAAGTGATACAAAAGAAAAAAAGGGGGGGAAATTACTTTTGAGCTGCTGTTAATCATAATATTTTACTGTTTAATGTATAATATTTGTTAACAAATTATTGGTGATCGTACCCCCTTTCTTAAAAGGGGTCTCTTGCCCATGTATCTTTCCAGGCACTTAAATAGCGAGTACAATATAATTATTAGAGAAGATTTTTAAACATCAAAGAGCTAATGAAATTTATTTTTTAAATAATGTTGTATGATCTAGAGTAATAGGGTCTGCAAGGAATTGCTTTATATCAAGGAAAAAAGACCTTTGGCAAGTCTTTAGCATTGTTTGATGGCTTTATAATAGAAAGCAATAGTAAGGATGCAGAATTGTTTCCTAGCATTTTGGTCAATACTGAAAATGTCAGGAGCAGATTGGCCCTTTTAATGTTATGCTACTTTGATGGTGCAAAATACAGTGATTACAAATAATCTTGTTATGATATTCCAGGTTTTAGGAACAACTTTTGTTTATATACTGTAATTTAATAAATTGCATTTACATGCTTAGTTTCTGTAATATTTGTGTATACAATACCAAAATCACACAAGATGTAAATTGTGTATAACTACACAGACTCCTTTCCCTAGGTGTCTAGTTTTGATTCATATATTATAAAATGACTATATGTGACTGTTGATTTACAGAATTTACATATCACAGAAGCTAGCTCTTTGTGGTACCTAAGTTAATAAAAGTGATTTTTCTGAGTTCCTTTACAAATAAGCATTATCCAGTTGATCTGGCAATGACTCTGCGTACGAGCCTAAAATAATGAAAATTTTCTCATGACATCTTTTTTTCCTTTTTTTAGAGAGTAATGTTTTTGCTATGGTTTGTGAAACAACTATGTTCACGTTATCTATGTTGCTGTAATTTTTTGTGCTTTAATTCCTCTAATTTCCAACTGATTAAAACAAATCAAACTCCTGTAACTTGCACTTTCCCTAATCCTTACTACTCTTGTATGGCAACCAAAATTACTGTAAGAAATAAATATCATATTGCACTAAGGTTGTGATTCTGATTACGAAGAGCAAATCCAGTCTGAATTTTTTTTATTTCTAAAAAGAGTTGCCAAATTTTCCACTTAACATTAAAACTGTTTAAAGTTCCTTTTTTTAAAGCTTGTCTGTCATTTCCATGGGATTTAGAGTTAAAGCTCTCTGAAATTGATCCAGAATGAATTCCTATTCCAGAATGAGAAATGCATTATAAAGCGCATGATAGAAAACATGGACTGATTTGTTTTCTTTGTTTTATCAGAAAAAATTTCAACAGAAGGCTTCTGAACGTCTGAAAGGATTATTATCATTTCAAGTGATCATTAATATAATTAATGGTAAAACACTGGTTGAAAGAAGAGGTTAAAGGAAGAAAAAAAGATCGAGAATTTTAATTTATTTAAATGTATTTCATTTATAAACCTAACCAATAATAATGGATACCACCAGCATTATCACCAGCAGAGATGGTTCCCTCTGATAATCTCTAGTTTGAGAAAGAAAGTATTGCCTGAAAGTTATCAGAATTAACCAATTTGATCAGCTGCTTCTCCGCATGCAAGCATAATATATTTCTACAAGGCTGAATGGACCAAATTCCTTCTCCCCTTCTTTGCAATTATCTTTTGACAGCTGGGCTTGCTTATCTGTGTGAAAGTGATGTTCTTGTTAAGGCTATACTTGCTGTTAGGATTTTGTCATGAAAGTAAGTTACACATCTGGCAATTTAGGTTCTGTTAATACCTAAGCAAGGCTTCAATTTTTACAATTATCCAATCTTTTCTCTTTCGCTCTAAATGGTTTATGGGCTAAGTGTTCCTGTCAGAAGATCCTTTCGTTGCATCACTTTCCATGAACAGAGGAGCTTTGATTTATTTTTGAGTTTAATATCTTTTCCAAGTAGTTTTTCAATACATTTGAATATCTGGAATAACAGACAAGATCTGCATATCTTCTTTCTTGTTAATGTTTAATTTGATTAAATTATCCTTACCACTAAGAGGTATTGTTATCTTTATATAGCTAGAAATATACTTTCCCTGATTTTTTTTTTACAAATATCCACAGCTTCCCTGCTCCGAAACCATCAGGGCTATGTGCACTTCAAATTTAATAACTTTCCTGAAATAAACCTGATTTAAACCAATTGTTTCTTCTAGTTTTTCTCTTTCAAGAGGACAAGACTTATGTCAAGAGGGTTCTCAAAAGCAGTGCCTTAAGTTGTATACGGGTATAACAGGAAAAACAAACCAAAGTACCCAGTGTAACTCTCCGATGTTTTGAATTAAGTTGTAAGAAATAATGTAATGAAAGTGTACTTTTTTAATTCAAAGAGCCAATTTGGCATCAGTGCATCATAGTAATAGCACCTTGTTCTTTTTACAATGGATTCTATCAGCGAACATCTGTAGAAAAAGGTCCAGATTGTTTTATGTTTGGAAAAGGGTTTCATTTCTTTTCAGTGTTAAAACAAGATTTGACGCATCATCAAAGATTTTAATTCAATAAATTTATAGGTGTTCACATTAATAAATGATATTTACACCCTGAAATGCGCATGGCCTAATTTATGTACTTTGATGACAGAAATGCAATAGTTTGTCATGAACCAAGCCATAGATCATGGTTTTTTAAATTTGGTAATTTTGAAATGAGTATATTTCAACTCCCAGAATTCCCTAACCAGCATCTTAAAGGTACCAAGTTTGAAACATGCTGCCATAGATCTTAATTAATTATACTCGCTCTTAATTGCATTAGCTGAAGAATGTATTCTGATATAATGTATATAAAGATACTGTATTTCTTTATAAATCTTTTTATTTATTTATTTTTATTAATATTTTTAAACATGTACTTAATGAAGTTATTTAATGGTACAACCCTAATAATGTTAGGGAAGTAGAATATATAGTGGGACTTACTTTTGTAAGTTGAGAACTACCTGTAATGCCAAGTTGAGCATGTTATTAAAATCTCCATCTTAAATCGGTGAATGAATAGAGCCGTCTAGACAAATGTTTTAATTTGTAACTTGCTTATCAAAATAAGCAATAAACAGGCTTGTGAGATATTAAATAGATGGAAGTTGTATGTAAAAACCGACATATTTCAGCTTTGCAGGACTTTGGTTCTTTGCTGGAACGCTGAAATCTACCAGTGAGGTTCTGTTCAGGATGGTAGAAAATTTACATATGGGAACTCCCAGCCTCATCTTCAACCTAAAACCGCATCCTTGCTTAGCAGGAGAGGAACACATATTTTTTGTGGAATTAATGAAGTGAACAGTTTTCACTAATCCAAAAGGGTATTGTCAGATGAAGCAAGCAAGATGAAGCTATGTATGGTTTAGGTCGGCTATTTCAATGAACTAGTGGTATGAAGCAGGGCTTTGTCCAAGTCAGCAGAAAAATCTTTTTCAATTGATTCCACTTAAAAAAAGTTATTCCAATATACCTCAATGCAGAAAACTGCAAGCCAGACATATCCTAGTTTATCTTCACAGAGTACTATAATGTTCAGACTTGTATTCTATTTGTCCAGATAAACAAGTGATTGTAGCAGGACTTCCTGCAATTATTTTTGAGAATTGTTAGTTTTTTCATCCTAGTTCATAATTTTAAGTGGCATAACTAAGTATTTTGGAATTGTATGCTCTTTGGAGTATATCTTGGAAATTAATACTTTTATTCTTTCTGGAGAGCCGACAGAGAGACAACATAATCTGATTAGCGTGTCTATGTTTACCTTTAGAAATAAGGACATATTCCAAGAGATTGTGGCCATCCTTAACCAAATATGTACTTAGAATCCTTGGTGAGAAAAAAGCTAGCAAGGATCTTCATTTTTTATCATTTCTCTTCCAAATTGATCCAGCCATTCCCACTGAGCAGCCCAGAAACAGCACCTGGCTTCAAAGATCACTAGCATTTTGCAGTATATAATTCTGATTTCCAAATAGCTTCCGATTCCAACTGGAACTGTGACAGGCATAACATAGCTGATTAAATTTCATGCATGAGTCGTCAAGTCTAGGTGTTCTGATCCAACCGGGTTCCCAAAGAGCAAATACAAAGGCAGCAGCCCCCACCTTTTAAGGTTTAATAACGAATTCTGTTCCTTTACAGATAAAAGGCTGTTTTCCACTAATTAGCTCCGACAAGAAGCCTTGCCAAGTTGTTCGTCAATGCTGCCAAAAACCCAGAGATAAGAACTAATTTACAAGATTCTCCAAACACGAACTAAGATGTCCACAAGTTGAACTTCGGAGTTTCTTTGCTTTCTGCAAAGAACGCTTTTTCAAACCTGGCTTTTATCCTCTTGGGGGAGGGGCAGCCTTACTCCCGAGTCGCCTGTGCTGCTGTAATTGTTCTTTCCTCGGAGTAATCCTTCGTGTACGTGCACTTGGCACAGGCTCCTCGGGAACCTCCTCATCACTGCTGCCAACCCACACAATCTCTGAAGGCAGCAGTCCACTCCCTGATGGTCCTGGCCCCTCATCAGAGTCATCGGTCTCCTCAGCCATCTGCACCTGCTGCCGGCTATCCACATTAGGTAAGACTTTCAAATTATGGAACAAATCCTCGCAATACGACAGAGAATACAAGCAACAGATTACATTCTGGATTGCCTATTTTGGATGGCATCTCCCACTGAACAAAGATGAACCATGAAAAGGCCTGCAATTTTATTTTTTTTATAGTAGGAACACAAAGCATTTCTTTCGTTATAATTCTATCCAATCAGCAACTTCTAATTAAAATGGAAAAGGATCACCTCCTATGACTTTATGTAAACCTTCTCTGCTCCAGGCAGTTGAGAAAAACTTCAGAATGTGCTTATTGATGAACAGGGAAAAGCCCATTTTATGTGCATTTTGTTATTTAGGATACAATCTGGGTTGGTCACCGGGACCAGAAATTTTGTCTTCCGAGTTTTCGGACTTGTGCTGGAGCCCAACTTCAGGCAACTTCTCTCTAGCAGTATGTGTGCTGTTCTATGCATGGTATAGTGCCTGTTGTATGTGAGTTTTTAGGTGTTGATTGGGGTGTGTTGATGGCTGGCTTTTAAATCATTAGCTGTCGTTTGCTTGTGCTGCCCAGCCTTCACCTTCTAAGTACTTGATAGGCTGGTGGTAAATCAGCACTCTTGTTGACTGATGAGGGGGCAGTTTCCCAGGCTTCAATCACTTCTCTGGCTGTTTTTGTGCCTGCTCGTCCAACAATCTCAATAGCTGCAAAATTGAATGTGTTCTTGTTCATTGCAGTGTGAGGCCACCAATGAGTTCAGGTGCTCATCTGACAGCTCACTTATATTCTTGCAATGGTAGGTTAGTGTCCTCCCCGTCTGTTCTAGAAAGTCACAAGGGCAATCCATGCAGGGGATTTAGTAGATTACATTGGAAATATCTGCCACCTCCAAGCAATCTTTACAATGTACAATTTGTCTGCGTATGGTAGCCTCTGGGTGGTGTGTGATGCCCACTTGTAATTTTAGCAGCTGCATTCTACAGCTTCCAAAATGTTTTTGTTCTATGGCAGAATGTGCCATGTGGTTGGTCTCCTTTAGTTATTTATTCATTTGATTTCTATAGCTGCCCATTGTGAATGATTCAGGATGTTATTTCATATTCAACTGGTTTGCTTTTTAGTGTATAGACTAGTCCTTGATGTACAGTCCACAATTTCTGTTGCTAAAAGGTAGTTATTATGTGGGTCATGCCCCATTTTACAACTTTTTTGTCATGGTTGTTAAGTGAAGCCCTATTGAAATCATGCCATTAAGCAAATCTGGGTTTCCCTATCCACTTTGCTTGTCAGAAGCTTGCTAGGAAGGTTGCAAATGACATTCCCAGGATGTTGCAACCATCATAAATGCATGTTGCTTGCAAAGCACTCAAAGTCTGATCATGTGACTGTGAATGCTGCAACGGTCATAAGTGAGAACTGGTTGTAACTTTTTTCAGTGTTGTTATAACCTTGAACAGTCATTAAATAAGTGGTTGT